AAATGTTTTATAGTTTGGGGTGTATAAGTCTTTTGCTTCCTTGGTTAGTTTATTACTTAAGTATTTTATTCTTTTTGATGCTATTATAAGTGGAATTATTTTTTTAATTTCCTTTTCAGATTGTTTATTATTAGTGGATAGAAATGAAACTGATTCCTTGTGTGTTGGAGATTATTTTTTAAAAGTGTCATGAAGAAATACCAAGAATTGCCCTTAACAAGAAGCGGAGTTTTAAAACATTTTTATATGCACCTTCTAGCCAGGTGTCTATATATTGGAGGCCAAAGAAGGAAAAAAGATAAAAAAGTTGTCTTACATAAAAAGCCAATCCCTCATAGTGTATTTTTGTAAAAGGTACAGAGGATTTTGTCTCTATCAGGGAGAAGTTATCATGACAAGTTAGGATTGATTCATTTAACAGTGAGCATGTATTACACGCCAGGCACTGCCTAACGGCTGGGAGACAGAGACGAACAAAACAAAGACTCCTATCATCATGAAGTTTACAGTCTTGTAGGAAGAATCAGAAAATAAACAAAATAAGCAAGTAAGATATAGAATACGCCGAACGGTGCTACATGCCATGGAAACAGCAAAGCAGGGAGGGAAGCAGGAGGATACTCCAGCGAGGTGTGGCTTTCCTAGGTCGCGGCCAGGGAGGGGGCGGCGTCCAGGCCGAGCCCCAGGGCGGCGGGCGGCGGGGAGTCCAAAAGCAGGCCCACACAGACGCCAGCTGGGCTCTGACAAAGGTGAAAGGCAGTAAGGGCTGTCGTCTTAGCAAATGATGTTGAAACAAGACAACTTCGTGAGCCTCAGTTTAACCCCACAATTTCTACAAAAATTACCTCAAAATGGATCATAGATCTGTATGTAAAACATAAACTATGAAACTTGTAGAAAAACAGCATAATAGAAAATTTTCATGACCTGGGGTTAGGCAAAGAGTTCTTCAATATATCAGTATAAGCATAATAAATGTAATCTATAAAAGAAAATAATAATAAATTGGACCTCATCAAAATTAAAAACATTTATTCTGTGAAAGATACTAAGGGAATTTTAAAAACACTAAGAGACTAAGAGACACTAAGAGAATTTATAAAACATGCTATGGACTAGCAGGAAATATTTGCAAATCACATATCTCAAAAAGTACTTGTACCCAAAACATATAAAGAATTCTCAAAGTGCAACATAAGAGAAAAACAACTCGATTTTTAAAAAATGTGCACAGGACTTAACTGTTTTACCAAGGAAGATATACAGATGGTAAATAAGCACACAGAAAATATGCTCAATGTCATTCATTAGGAAAATGCTAATTAAAACTACTATCAGATAATACTACATACATATTTAGAAGTACTAAAATAAAAACACTGACTGGCCGGGCGCTGTGGCTCACGCCTGTAATCCTAGCTCTTGGGAGGCCGAGGCGGGCAGATTGCTCAAGGTCAGGAGTTCAAAACCAGCCTGAGCAAGAGCGAGACCCTGTCTCTACTATAAATAGAAAGAAATTAATTGGCCAACTGATATATATATAAAAAATTAGCCGGGCATGGTGGCGCATGCCTGTAGTCCCAGCTACTCGGGAGGCTGAGGCAGAAGGATCACTCAAGCCCAGGAGTTTGAGGTTGCTGTGAGCTAGGCTGACGCCACGGCACTCACTCTAGCCTGGGCAACAAAGCGAGACTCTGTCTCAAAAAAAAAAAAAACACTGACAATACTAAGTTCTGGAGAGGACGCCGAAGAACTGGATCTTTCATGCAGCACTAATGGAATGTAAAAGGACACAGCCACTCTGAAAAAGTTTGGCAGTTCTCATAAATTTAAACACACTCCTAGGTGTTTGCAGCAGGAGTTGGCAAATTTTTTTTCCTTAAAGGGTCAGATAGTAAATACTTACAGCCTTTGTGGCAACAGCTCAACTCCTCTGTTGTAGAAAGTAGCCCATCCAAAAATACATGAGCAAGTGGGTGTGGCTGTCTTCTAATAAAACCTCATAAAACAGGTGATACCTGCTTTTGCTTTGTTTTGTTTTTTATGGTCTGAACAAGCTTCAATAGTTTTGATGGTTTTGAATGGTATAAAAGTATCCGTAGAGTAGCTTCTATTTTACCTCTTGACCCAAAAAGCCTAAAATATTTATTATCTAGCCATTAAGAAAAAAATTTGCCGGCCCCTCTCTACAGAAATGGAAACTTATGTTCACCCAAAATTCTGTAAATGAATGCTTGTAGCAGTTCTACTCACTAAAAACTAGAAATAACGAAACATCCTTTAACTAATGACTAATCAGACAGACTATGGCACACTGAAACACACCAGTCAGCAACAACAAGGAGCAAACTGATGGGATACTCCACCAGGTGGGCGCTCTGCAGGGATTTACGTCAGCAGAAGAAGCCAATTCCAGAAGGCTTTGATCATGCTCATACAGCAGAGCAGTGTCTTCGGGGGGCCTGGGGAGGGTATGACGTCACAGGGCTGCTCTGCACCCTGCCTGGGTTTCAAATCTACACATGCGGTGAGGCTCAAAAGTGCACATGTGCAGAAGAACTCAGTTCCACTGCATGTTCATTTAAATCTAATAATTTAGGTGTGCTTGTAGCTCTATCAGCGTGCAGCTCTTTGATATTCATTGAACGCCTGTTGCTGTTACAAGCTACTAAATGCTGCAGAAAGTGAGCAGGCTGGTGAGTCCCATTAAAAACTTCAGAATGCTCCTATGAACAAAGAAACCGTGATGCCGAAAGGGGCTTGCATAAAGGAGTAGGAGTGTGTGGGGGATAAAAACGTCAGGTTTTGGTGTCAGCCCTGCTAATACGCAGCACCTCATTGTAAAGAAATAATGTATGGTACTGCTGAGACCAGAAGTTCAGCAAGGTACAAAGAATGACAACTCACACAGGTGAAGTCTCTCCTGCTTTTTCATGAATTTTGGAGAAAGGGATCTTTAAGTGTCAGGTATTCGCCAACCAATGTCTCCTTGAGTGCCCGTCAGCAGCAGGCGTGGCACTTTGGTGTCTGTACTCCTTCGAGACGTAGAGGAAGACCAAGACAAAATGCTGCTCTTCAGAACCGCCTGGTCAAGCAGAAGCCGAAGTGAATGCTTGCAAGGGGAGACCCCACGAAGGACAGGTCACGGGACCCCAGGAACACAGCATGCAAGACAGGCAGCGGCTCACAGAGTAGCCCAGGCAGCGTCTGAAGGAGTGGAGCCTTACGAAAGAGTTTGAAAGTGCACAAGCACTTTCCGGGGCTTCCAGACCAGTCAATGACTGCAGAGGAGGTCAGAGGGCGAGTGGGGCAAGGGCTTCCAGAGCGGCGGAAAGCATGGCTGAAGGCAGGGGCAGGGATTGCACAAGCCCTGGGGAGGGGACCAGTGGCCAGCCTGCGCCAGCAGGAGGCCAGTGGGGGTGAGACCCAGGGCCCAAGGGGCAACACCAGCAGCGCAGAGCAGTGTCCCTGCCCACGTGGTGGAGGGCGGAGACGCGCATTCTGAACCGCAAGCCTGGGGCAGTCGGACACCGACAGTGGCCACGGGCCGTGAGCGTCACGAGTCCACTCTGCTACGTGGAGTCCTCCGCAGAAGCAGAGCCGTGGGATGTGTATGAAGAGCAAGAGAGGTTTACTTGACGGAACTGGCTTATGCGATTAGCCACGAACCTGGCCACGTCCAAACTCTGCAGGGTAGGCTGGCAAGCTCCGACCCTGAGAAGAGCCCACAGGCTCCGACTGGAGAACCAGGAAGAATCCGGGCTGCAGTGCACGTCTGAAGGCAGTAGGTCCCCTGGGGAGGGCTGGGAGAAATAGCAAGCGCAAATTTCTGGCCTGGGACCAACGCCTTCTTGGGCCCTGACCTCCCTCCCCTCGGCGCTCTGGGCCTGTAGCTGGCTGGAGCCTGGGAATTGACTGGGGGCCGAGATGCTCTCTTCTTGTGGTTCAAGTTAGACTTTGTTCCCTGGCCCTAGAACTTCGCTGGCTTTACAGACCAAACATAACTTCCTGTCTGCTTCACTGCTGACACCTGGGTCTGACCGCTGCCTTCCTGACGGAGTCCACTCCCCCAAGTGGCCACACATGGCCCCTGCCGCCCCAGGGCTGAATCACCCCTGCTGCACTCAGTGTCCGGGACGGAGCTGCGGTCGGTACTGCGGGTCCGGCCTGCAGAGAAGAGCAGCCGCACGCCCTTCGTGGGTTCTGGGGTACCCTGCACAGGTTTGTTCTCACAGCCCTGGTGAAAGGGTGACTACTGGCACCCCAAGGCTGGTGAGCAGGTCTGAAATGACAAATGCCCTCTGGTGTTCCACCCTCCCAGCTGGAGTCCCCTGCTCCGCGCCAGCACGGCAGGGCAGCAGGGCCGGCTGCTCTCTGTCGGCTTCGGCCAGCCCCAGCCAGGGGCCACGCGGCCAGCCGGCCAGCGGGGCCCTTTCCACTCCCCAGGCAGCTGAGAGTGGTGCGGAGCCTCTGCTTAGTGGCCCGTCAGGGTGCTGTGCGCCACCTGACTGTTCCTCCCGCCCTCGCCCTCGCCCTCAGCACCACACAGCCCCGGCTGCCCTTCCCGGGAGGGGAGGGCCACACACTGGGATCACAAAGGGATCAATTTTTAGGGGATCACATTTCTTAAATTTGGGAGATCACACTGAGGGAAGGCAACACAGAGGAAGGGATGGTATAACTCCCCAGAGGTGCTCACATTGAGCACCTGCTGTGTGCCAGGCACTGGTGCTGCAGACACAGCCCTGTGGGTGGGTGCCTACGCCCTGCACATCACGGCAGGGGACACCAGGGTCGGCGGGGAACGTGCTCAGGGACGGAGGCAGGCAGTGGTGGGATTCCAGTCCAGGTTTGCCTGACTCCAGAGCATTTTTAAGTAATATGTTGGTCCAAAACCTGGGACCTTTGGATGCCAATTGCTTAATAATGCCTCGTGGGTTTTCTTGTTTCCCAAAGTTTTGCATTTTGGCACATTCTCCTTTGTGAATCTAAGTCTAGAATGTTATGGAAACAAGATGAAGGTGAAATAGCCTCCAGTTTTATTCTAGAGCACAGAAGATGCTCATTGTGTATGGTCAAGGCAACCAAAATCAACATTGTTAAATTAAATCATGATTTTGCAAAATTACTGATTCCCAGACACCACACGTCTTCAGAGAGAACTCGTGAATTTTAGGGGAACCAGCCTGCCTCTAGCAGGGAGAAATTATGCTCCACGAGTCCTTTCAGACCCTCCTCTGGGCATTTTGAGATGCCAGAATCTGGGAGGACAGATTAGCCACTGCACACAACTCTTTTCCAGAAAGTATGATGTATTATGTTTGAAAAACTAATAGAAGCTCCTACTCACAAACTGAATGACAAGTAAGTTTTAAAAAGACCTGGGATTAAGGTTCTCCAGAAGAAATTAACTTATGGTTTTATGATTTATTAAGGTCCCTTTGGCCTTCTAATTCAAGTTGCCATTCCAATAGTTGTTGTAAAAGTTCATTTTGGAGCAAACCAAGACTGCACTGGGACTGAACCCTGAGTAGCCGCATTCGGCCTTGGTCATGTTCCGAGTTGCATTCCCAGCACCTGGTGCGGTGTGGGGTGCGCAGTGGGACTTCGCAAGGTTCATGAAGTGCACCGATATTACTGTGTGGATGGGAATCTTCTCAGCACCAAAGATGTGGGATTAGGTAAAAAATACCGGATTAGTCACCCAGCACACAAAATGTGCATTAGTCATTTTATTAATATTGAATAAGGAAAATTCTTTATAAACAAAGAAGACATAGAATAAGTGGCTTATGTTAAAGATAATTGTTTGTGCCGTCGTGAAATGCCTGAATTCATTCCCCTGAGAATAAACCATCTCGATATATTTCTTCAGCTTTGCTGAGAAAAGTTCAACAATAATAAACATTAAATGTCTGTCTTTTTACACACTGAGAGAAAAAAGTGAGAACCCCCACTCCGACTGCTGGGGCAGCAGACCGGTGTGGGAAGGGTAAACAAACAAAGCCTTAGGCAGCAAGAAATGGAGGTGAGCATTCCACAGACCTGGGGCTGCCCGGCCCTGTGGGCCCAGGGCAGGGCTGGGGTTAAAGGGCAAGGGCTGAGGGCCAGGTCAGTTTTTGATCCAGAGACGGCCAGGTCAGATAAGGCCCAGAAAGCCGTGCGAGCTGCTCCCCCAAGCAGGGCGAGGGCTTGCCAGGCTGTGGAGGAGGCTTGCAGAGGAGGTGCAGGGCCTTCCCTTGCTGCTTTCCAAGACCCTCCTGCATCCCGGAGACAGCTCTGTGCTCACCTACGGCACAGATGCCCCAGCTGGTCACAGTCTGGTGGTTTCCTCAGGCTGGGTTTCTGGCAGAGAAGGGAGGCTGGAAAAAACCTCCAGGAAATAAATGCCGGACTTCCAAAATGCTACTGAGAAGCATAATACAACACTTGAAAATAATCAACTAGTTAGAGCAAGGGCCCAGACGATGGACCTGGGCTTCTGGAAGATCAGCTGGCGTGGCTGCTGCCTGCCCACGTGCAGTTGGTGGGGCTGTGCGTGTCCCGGCTGCAGGGCCCAGGGGCTCTGTCCTCCCCTCCCTGGGACCCCCAAGGCTGAGGCATGGCAAGCCCCTGTCCCCTGCTGGAGTCCCAGAGCTCATAAAGTCCGGGGCACTTAGAGGGAGTTCAGGAATAGGAAGTAGATGGGGCTGTTTTGATATCAAAGCCTACGAGGAAATGGGAAGAGGGAAAAGGGAGCCTGAGAGAAGGTACGAGGAATGTCATCCCGGCACCGAAGTGAAGCCCGCAAAACGTAGCCCAAGCAGGGGCTGGTAGAGGGTGACTCCGAAGGCCTCTGCTGAGGAAAGACCCTGCGTGGCCTGGGGACGGGGACCAGGACTCGCCTTGTCGGCATGGCTACACCCAGGCTTCTCAGACAGGCCAGCGGCTCCAACAAAGAAGCAGGTCTAAGAACAAACCAGCCCAGTAAGCACACAACTGAGGAAGCTTAAAATGTGTGAGCATTTAAAAATAATTATTCTGTGGGAGTCGTTTTGTTCATCAAAGCTCTCTGCAAAGTCTGAGGGCCAGATCTAACAGAATAATGCAATGGCTTCTTAAATTTTAATATTTCTCTGTGGGGGCTGGATGAAGCACATGCTTCATTCGGATAGTCTGTAAGGCCTGTGCTGTTGACCTCACAGGGCAAAGGGGCCCTGCCTGCTGACCTCACCGGGAGGTTTCTCTGCTTGGAGGCAGGGCCGGCCCTCTGCAGGGCAGGGAAGCCCGGAAACAGCAGGGCAATTCCCTGAGTCCAGTCAGCAGGGCAGTTGGCACCCTGCCCCAGCATCCAGCCCCACAGTGGCCCAAGCCCAGGTTCCAGCCAGCCAGGGGCACTGGCCGCTGCCATCCAGACCTCCACCGTGGGATGCTGTGCTCACCCCACCATTCCATGCTCCAGCCAACTCTGTTAAAGGAATATCCTCTTTCCCAAAAATGTGTCTGCATTTATACCTTGGCAGCTTGTACGTCAGATGGAGGCAGTGAGCGCATTTGGCGTCTCTGGGTCCAGACACCCCATGCCTCCTGCTCACAGGGGGACCTAGGCCCACAGCCTGCCCCAGGACGCCGCACCCTTAGCATGTGCCTCTGTCCCTCCAGCACCTCCCCCTCCTGCCCTAGACCTTTTGGCCCCAAACTCTCCATAGCAAGCTGTTGTTGATTCTCATCTGCAAGTCTCTGAAAGCCTGCCACCCAGGGGAGCGGCCCAGGGAAGGGAGCCCAGCAGCAGTGGCCCTCAGCCCTCAGAGAGGCTGCATGGCTGGGGGCAGCTCGTTAGGTGGGGTCAGGTCACTAAAGCCACAGGCTTTGGTCTGCTCTTCCAGTATTTCCAAATGTTCCATATCACTTGGGCTTAGACATAATAACGCTTCTCCACAATTAGGAGATGGCTCCCTGGTTGGCCTTGGTCTCTTTGCTGCCGAGGGACCCAAGCTGCAGATGACCAGTGCTCCCCAGAGGAGGCGGGCGTGCAGCCGCTCTGCTTGGGACCTAGCAGCAGTCAGACCTGCACAGCCTGGCAAAGCCCCCCGGGGCTGCGCCCCCAGGTTTCCGCAGACAGCTCGGCTCTTGCGCCAGACAGAGCAGGTTTCCCAGTGTGCCAGGAGATACGTGGGCCAAGCCACCCGCACCCAGGGCAGCGCGGTGCCTCCTTGTACCAGAGCAGGCGCTTGCCAAGTCACAACTCGCCTCTGCCCTGAGCCATCAGGCTCCACTGGGAGGTTCCTCCAAGGACAGATCCCTCAGTGCCATTCCTGGTAGCTGGGAAGGACGGAGCTCACCGTGAAGTCCAAGGGCTGGGTTCTGTCCCTTAATGTGGCCCGTGTGGAAAATCTTTTCCAAATTGCTTTGATGTTGTATTAAAATGAGTAATAGATGGGAGTGCGAAAACATGCAGGCCATGTCTGAGAGAGCTGCTTGCCAGTTTCCTTTTCAGTTTTGAAAATCAGATAGCCCAGGAGCAGAGGGGACTAACAGGGAAGATTATCGGCATCAGTCTGGGATCCACCGCCAAGATGCAAACTGCCACGCTTCCCACCAAGGGAAGGTGCAAGGTGCACCCACAGTGCTGTCATTCAGGGCTTGTTTCTACCGCCTCCCTCCTCCCCAGAGAAGAGTTTGTCCCGGGAACATCTGCATGCCAACCATGGTGGCATCTCTTTTTGCTTCTGATGTAAGTAGTTATTTTGTTATTAGCTTTTGCTGCACAAAGAGGCCTAATACAGTACCTTATGTGATATCCAAGAGCAGCCCCGAGTTTAGGAAGAGCTGGGGTCCCCCTGGTGTCCCAGCCTGCAGCCCAGCTCTGGTTCTGCAGTGAGAGGAGATGTCCCGCCTCTCAGTCTCTACACAGCCTGTGGGTGCAGCGTCCAGGAAACCGACTCAGATTAGCCAGTCAGCACAATCATCTCATCACCTCCTGGAAACTGGGGCCTCCAGCACAGATACTGGGGGCACTACACAGTCCTGCCATTTCCCCCAGACTCAGAGCAAAGTAACCTCTTCAAGGGAAATGGCAGACTCTGGGCAGCCGTCTGAGTGGAAGGAGAGCCGCCCCCCACGCTGCCTCCGCAGACTCCAAAACCTAACAGGAGCCTCGCAGTCTGGACGCTGCTGGTGCTTCGTCTCCGTGTAAAGCACTCACAACCGTCCAGTAAGCACAACCTTCTAACACAAACAACAGGAAGCGAGAAGACTATTTCATTACTTTCTGTCGTGGCCCAGATGTGGCCGGGCTATTCTAGGCTGACGCTGCAGGAGGCACTAAGAGCCTCAGAAGGGAGGGAGCCCCGTACGGCTTCCAGGCGGTGTTCACAGGCTGTGGAGACATTGCAGACAGGTTTCTGCTGAAGAACCAAACATGTGGGTGCTTATCTGAACTGAACCCAAGTCTCTGGAATTTTACACCTCACTCCTGAAAACCTGGGGCGTGCTCTAACTCGCAGCTCCGTGAGGCGCTGTCTCCTGGGAGTAGGGTTCGCCTTGTCATACACCTGTTCTGCCTGTTCTGCCCAGAGAGGTCGGGAAGCCAGCAGCAGCCATGCAGAGCTTCCTCTGACTTTGTCCTTCTCCGATCCATTCTATATGGTCTGTGCAACCACGGAGCTTTAAAAGCAAGCCCACTGGAATGCTTCACAGTTGGATGATCATAGGAGGGCTTTATTCAAATCTACTTGGAGCAACTCAGAACAGGTATCAGCTAGACAGACAATTAGAGTTGCATGCTCCGCCAGGAAATCCTGCCAGTTTTTACCTATTAAAGCAATTGGGAAATAGACCGGTACTGGCTGAGAAATCCACTTGTATGTGCACGCATGGTGTGGGGGGTAAGCAGGTGTTTGTGAGCCACAGTTATATTCTTGACAATGCTCTCCCTCTCCAGTTCACAAAGAATCCTTGGTGCTCAAGCTTTCCTACCACAGGGGAACAGGGACGCTCAGTGTTTCAGAGTGGAAGAAAGTCTTCACCATTGAGCATGGATTTCCAATATATCGTGGGGTTTTCTTTGTTTAAAACAACCAACTTTAGATTCTTCTTCCTAACTCTTTGCTGCCAAACAGTAGGAAAGCAGCTATCCCTGGTAACGAGTGCCCGGAGGACACCGTCAGTCACCGCCTTGCCCCTGTGCTGGGACTTGCCCAGAAGCAACATTCCCCTGTACTGGTATGAAAAGACCCCACTAAGGGAACAAAGAGACAATAAAGTAATTCATCGAGCAATCCTGCTGAGAAATGAATCCCCAATTCAAGCCAAATCCAATTGCACAGAGACACTGAATTAGTGCCTGGGTGATAATAGATAAGGAATGCTTGCATTGCGCCACAGCGAGTGAGTGAGACTCTGTCAGAGCAGGCAGAGCCCCACTAATGCGCATGTAAACAGGGATTGCATCAGTGTATCCTACAAAGCAATTTAAGATTAGAATGAAACACAAGGATGTGCTTTCATGACAAAGAACAAATAATCTGAGGTTTCTGTATAAGCCCTCTGGTTGCCCTACTCTTCCTGGGTTGCAGCCGCAGTGTTGCCACCTTTCACCTTCTTGTGGGCAAGACGGGTCTCTTTTGTCTTCTCTGCCATGCACGAACAGTGCTGCCATGAAAAATCTGAGGCCCGGGAGTTAGCAGAGACTCCAAATCCTCAGCGTCCTGCATGAGCAAAAGCCCAGGTGAGTCCAACACACTTGCTCGCAGCCGCCCCCACCCACACGGCCACGGACAGAGACCTACTTCTTCTTGCACTCACAATGCAGAGGACACAGTGAAAACTGTGGTGACCACGCCAGCTGCACAAGCATTTCCTTTAACCTGGTCAACAACGCCCAGAGCCACAGGAGCAAATAAAGGAGGATGGGACCCCCAGATCCTCAGGCATACTAATCCCACGGAGCGCCTGTGAGAGGGTGGACGAGGCCAAGGACCCAGTAGCACAGGCGGGTGCCCAGTGGATCCACGGGAACAGAAGACATCCAGCCAACTGCCACCTGCTTCGCGTTGTGACTTTATTGAGCCACTGGTCACTGGTAAAGCTGTGTAACTGAGGCTCTTGTCTCACTCCAGTGAAAAGCGGCATGTGCATTCAAAGGAGCCCCGGAGGGCCCTGCGGCTGGGAAACCCAACCCTGATGGCCAGGCCCTGGGCTTACCAGCTACAGCCACATTCTTTTCTACAGCTTCAGAGGCAAACACATTAACTCGTAAAAGCTTAATTGGGATCTTAAAACGGCCACTGCACTACTAAAGGGGTGAGCAGCTGGAGTGCACAGAGGCCCAGCAGTCTGTGCCCTGGCTGTACGTCCATTGCCACCCAACTCCCGCACAGGAGAGCCACGCTCACCACCCTGGGCAGGCTCCGCGGAGCATCGGCACCAGGGCAGAACACGAAGAGCATCAGCTCTATCTGCTTGGCGTCCTCTGCTCTGCAGCTCCACGTCACTGCCAATGTGCAGAAGCCCCTCCCAAGCCAGCCGAGGTGGCTAGGGCCGTTCAGAACTGCCGTGAGCTGGCTTGCTTTCAGGTGAGCACCATAAACAAACCCCTGCCCATGTAGAATGCTTTCCAAGTCAGCTTTCCTAATTCATCAAAGCAGTCTCCAAGCCTAATATTTCACAAGAACCTTCTCATGTTTTCCATTGTTTTGTTTCCAAGACGCATCCTAAATCCTAAGACTTTCAGCTTCGTGTCTCTAATGGCCTCTTGCAAATGGTCTTGCTATTTCAGTCGGTCTTGATGGCTTAAAGTTTTCCGTCTCTGGGCGGGTGGACCCATCCACTGCAGGACAGGCTATCTGCAGCTCAGCCACCGACAAGACTTCCGGAGCCATGCCCCTTGCTGGCTCATGGCTGGCACGCACTGCAGGCAGCCTGGTGCCCTGGTAGCACACAGCGTTCCCTCCTCTCCCCCCACAGCCCTGTGGGGTGGGTGACATGAGTACCCGGCTTTACAAATGAAGAAACTGAGGCACAGAGCAGTGGAGTCACTGGGGCAATTAGCACAGCAGGAAGCAGTAGATCTGAGACCTCACCCTGGGCACCCAGCTCCAAAGCCCAGCACAAATGCACCAATGGCCGGGGCACAGTGGCACACAGAACAGCAACAGCTCCTCGCTCACAGATCCTGCAAGGCAGAATGCGAAATTACACAAATGCAAATCATGTACTAAATCCTCAGGGGAGGAATCGAAAGTACTGATTGCTATGGAAACCGTACCTGGCAAACCATGTGGTTTCCTTCCATGGAAACACTCCCTCTCGGAGAGAAGGCAGGCCCGTGCCAGATGCACTTTCCCTTCTCTGGATCTCACTCCCGGCTGGAACAGGTCACATTTTTCCAAAGAAGCTGAAGAAACATATAAAACACCTCAAGTCCTTAATTATTAATTTGTTCTCATCTAAAACCTGGGAAGATCACTAATACACACAGGCCCAAACTTCTGAAAAAATCGGCAAAGTGACATCATTTACATTTTTTCCAGGACAGAATACACTCCTCTCAGTTAAAAATAAGCATCTGTCCAAGATTTACAAAATAAAGTGCAGATGAATCAATGCTGCTGCTGTGTCAGGCGGACATTTTGCATTAGAATTTGTTTTTCAGAGAAAACTGGGCTTTGGGCAAATATTTCCCCTCCTACGAAGCTGGGATGGTTCAAAGAGGTATTGATAGTGAAGTAGAAAAGTAAAGCAAGGAGAGGAACATTGGCTGATTTGCTCTTTTATCATGATTTTTTAAAATGATTTAAGGGGAAGGGGTTTGAAGCTACTGATCAGACTAAAATATTTTAATTTATCATAAACTTCATTTATCTATATTATCCTAACAATACCAGCTAGCATAGATTGAGCATGTGTCATTACGTGCCAGGTACCAGACTAGGTCCTTGAGGTAGTTGCGTCTTCCCTTGCAGATACTGTCTACCTGTGTCACAGGACGCAGAAGCGAGCCACGGAGACAGCTAGCTTGCAGCACGTGCTCGCGCCCTCCAGCACTGCCCCACACGCTTTATGAGTCCCGGTGGACATTTTTCATTAATTAGTAGCTCAGCATCAGAATGCTCATACTATTCTGAAAGGAGGAGTCCTACTTCCCTCAACACAGCCCTGGTGGCTTCCATCCCACACTTCAGATGGGCCACTGAATCTGGGAGACATGCTTCCATTCGGAAACAGCCAGTCTCACCTGCAGCAGGGGACGTCCAAACAGGGCTCGAGGGCTGTTAAGGTCCAGCTTCCTGGCCGGGCACGGTGGCTCACACCTGTAATCCTAGCCCTCTGGGAGCCAGCGGTAATGCTCAAGGCGCAGGAGGTTTGGAACCAGCCTGAGCAAGAGCGAAACCCTGTCTCTACTATAAACAGAAAGAAATTAATTGCCCACCTAATAATATATGAAAAAAAAATTACCAGGCAGGTGGCACAGTCCTGTAGTCCCAGCTACTCAGGCAGGCAAGGCAGGAGATACACTGAGCCCAGGAGGTTTGAGGTTGGCTTGAAGCTAGGCTACTGATGGCACACCTAGCCTGCAACAAAGCGAGACAGACAGACAGCAGAAAAGAAGAAGGAAGGAGAGAAGGAAGGAAGAAGAGAAAAAGAAGAAAAAGAAAAAAGAAGAAGAAAAAGAGAAGAAAGAAAGAAGAAAGAAAGAAGAAAAGAAGAAAGAAGAAGAAAGGAAGGACAGCAGGACGAAGAAAGAGGGGAAGGAAGGAGAAGGAAGGAAGGAGGGAATGGAGGAGAGAAGAGAAGAAGAGAGAGAGAAAGAAAGAAAGAAAGAAAGAAGAAAGAAAGAAAGAAAGAAAAGAAAAGAAGAAAGAAAGCAAAGAAGAAGGAAAGAAAGGTCCACTCCTCGAGTGTGCCCATTTTTAAACCTACTTCTTCAGCCTTCATGGTAGGCTTCCAAAAAGCCCATTCCCTGCCTAAGTAAGCCAGTGGACATCTATGATGTTTGCAAGCAGGAATTCTAACTAAAGCCATGCATTTTCTCATTTAATCCTCACAGCAACCAAATGAAGTAGGTTCTCTTACCGTGCCCAATTTATAAGCAAGAAACTAAGGCACAGAAGGTTGAATACCTTACTCAAGATTGCAAAACTGGTGCTGGTGTTGAAACCTGAGCAATCTGACAGCACACCCAGCTTCGAGAGATGTAAGAACTTACCCAAGCAACTCCAAGTACAGGCGTTAGCTGGCTCCACTACCCCAAGCAGTGTTGTTGCTGTTGTTGGGCTCAACTGATGCGCAGAGGAGACACAGAGCCCCAGAATTGTAGATTCCAGAGACTGGTGCAATCTGGAACATGACACTTCAAGGCTTGTCCCCCAGAAGTCCTGGGACTTTTCAAACACTCCATATCCCAGCTCTATTTCTGGACGGCAAGCCTGCCCTCCCAGTGGAGCCTCAACCTCCTCCATGTGTCTGGATCGCAACCCACAGAAGGTCAGACGAGGTTCTGACCGGAACTTTTGCCTAACAGTGACTTCCAGGAGGCAGGTCTCTTGGCACCACCAGGGAGGAGAGGCCCCACTGCCCCTGCCCCTGCAGCCAGGCACAGGGAGGTTTCTTCTTTTTAAAATCCCTCATGTTTCCATAAATCTCAGCCCTCTGAACACACGTACAGGGTTTCATCTTCACAAACAGCATACTGTGCCTCACTTCTGTCAAGGCGAGGGTCGCCAAGTGCCCCCTGAAAACAGCCTGCCTGTTGAGAAATGACTGCATTGCTTATTTTCCCTGTAGTTCTGAATCTTCTTCCCGCATCCATCCGAAGTTCCCATAAAGGAGCTGTGCTGATCACATGTCAGCCCCTCCAGTGTTCAGGGTACATGGAAAGCCAGGAGAGAGATTAACTCCATGGCCTCAGGGAATCTGGAAGCTGCTGGGAATGGGGTGGGCCCTGGGGCCATGTCGGGGTGACCACATTAACACTTTCAATGGCTCACTTCTTTAGATGAAAATGCAAGTGTGGTCACGCAGATTTCTTTCTTCCCTAGTTCTGAAATGGTCCATTCTGCTTTGTGGCCAGTCACCCTTGGCCAGGGAAAAGTTGCCAATTGTTTCAAAGGATACAAAGGAGGAGGAGGAATAGGGAGGCTGGGGTAAAATTCTCATTTTGGTTTCCATTTTCCTGGGGGCCCCCGCACAGCCGTGCTGAAACGAGGCTATGGAGCACGCGTTCCACTGGGGGCTGAGCTAACCCCGCACGCTCAGGAGGGGCAGGCTTCGGATTTTGGTTATCTTTTTGTGCTCTTGGGGACACACACAGTCTTTTAGATGAATCAAAATAGATTAAAAGAGAAATAGGGACTTGTTTTAAATCTCTAAGGTAAAATAGGTCATTCCATGTGTGTTCCTTAACAAAGGTTTTTGTTTGTTTGTTTGTTTGTTTGAGACAGAGTCTCGCTCTGTTGCCCAGGCTAGAGTGAGTGCCATGGCGTCAGCCTCGCTCACAGCAACCTCAGACTGCTGGGCTCACATTGTCTCTGAAGAACCAGTAAAGTGCCCTTCTGGACAACTCCAGGATGAAGTCCACCCCCTGGGCCAGCAGACCTCCTCCTTGCTGCAAGAAGTTTCCAGCAAAACCTTTGTTTCCTCCACCCTACAGTAATGCGACAACAAACCCCAAGTCGTTCACAAGGAATAAACACAAGTTTCCTGGTAAGTGTCCCTGAAGTCACAAAGCCATGTGGTGGAAATTGGGGGGAGTGAGTTTTACAGGAGTAGCGGGGAAAGGACCCCTCCTCCATGGGGTCTCTCTTGGAGTGGGCAGATTAGGATCTCCACGATAGGAAACAAGTGAAGTCCTAATCATTCTTATCCCACCCCAAAGGCTCAAATCCACTTCTAATCCCTATAGTTTAAATGTTTGTTTAAAACATTTTAATAAAAGCACACTGCCCTAAACCTGTGCGGCTGGCGGGGAACAGGGCCGGACCGCCTCCCCGAAGATGCCAGGCCTGCCGCGGCCGTGCAGGGGCCACAGAGAGGCCAGCCTGGTGCCTTCTTCTTGCCTCCTTCCCCTTCGAGCACGCGGATAAAATCTGAGGCATGTTGTGGAAACCTTTTGGCCCCCCACTTACAGAACGCATGGAGAGGATCTGGGCGGAGGGGCTGATTGTGCGCACGGAGCGCGCGGAGCGGGCAGGGTCGCGGTCGGCCCTGAATACCCGCACGGCGCGGAGACGCCCCAGTGTCTCCCGGCCCGCAGCCTAACGTGGGAGCGTGGGGCTGAGAGGGAGGGAGAAAGAAGGGAAAGGAATAAAACGGGGGTGGGGGGTGCTAGACCCGAGAATCCGTTCATTTCATAAGCCTCGCATTGCCATTGGTTGGAGGGGGGAATGACGGTCCTTGCAGTTGGGTTCCGAGCTGTAAGTGGAACGTTCCTGTGCCTTCCTCCAGACGCGCGGGGACAGCGGCCCCCACTCCGCGCCCGGCCTGCGCCCTCGCGCCTTCCGCGGGCGTGGCGGGAGGGCGCGCACGCGGGCAGAATCGAGCTCAGACACTAAGAAAATGGGAACAGCAGCGCGGCGAGGAGGCGAGGCGGGCGCGGCAGGACGGCTCCGCGCGGTGGCAGGCCCGCGGGCAGTGTTGGCGCGGCTTCGGTCCATAAACCGCTTGCGATCAAGTGCAAGACCCTGGCTGGGGAAATGGCCTTGCTGTGGGGCGAGAATGAGGACAGAGAGGGGTCCCTAAAACGCGGGAGGAGAGAAGTGGGGCGCTGCTGGCAGCCCCAGGGACAGCGCCTGGCCGCCACGGGGACCAGCGGCCGCCGTCCGGCCCACCAGGCCCGCCCCCCTGGCCGAGAGCAGGGCCTCGGGCGGACAGCGGGCGGACCCCCCCCACACCCTGCTACCCTGAGGCTGGGGACACCGCGAGTCCGCGGGGAGGCGAAGTTTGGGGCTGCACTGGAGCGCCCCTTGCCCAGGGCTCTCCCTCCCCCAGCTCTCAGGCTGCGGAGGGAGCCATCCCCTCCCATAAAAGTCCCTGCAGGAACCACGCGCGGGAGCAATGTGGCCTGGAGGCCGCTGGTCTTGTTCCTGGAACCGTGCGGGGCGGGCCGCGTGCTGCGGCACAACCCTGAGAAGGACCCGGCGCAGAGGCCGGAGGGGAGAGGGCGCCTGCAGGGCGCGCTGACTGACCCTGCGCGGCGGCGCTCGGGGTCGCTGGCTTACACTCAGACAAACCCGCAAGAAGACCTCCGTGGTGTCTGCCAGCGAGCGTCCCATACAGCTCCCGATATGCTGTTCAAATGAATGGAACCAGCTGCAGGAACTCACGGTGGGGACACGGGTCAGAAGCAGAGGAGAGGCCAGTTGCGCAGCGAGCACTGTGGGGTCTGCGTCTCGCTTGCGGGAGACGGCGGGCCCGGCCTCCAGCCAGTGCGGGACCCTGGCCCGACCCGAAGACGCTGGGGGAGGCCGACACACACGGGGACACCCTCACAAGGCCCAGGGCCACCTGAGCCAAGGCAGGCGCCGCAGGGCCGAGTCTCACAGCCGAGATATGGGCATCTGTAAGTAGAGACCAGAACAGTGGGTTGTTTAGTTTTTTAATCAACATATTGGGACTTTTCAAATTCTTATAACTTCTTGAGAAGAACATACCAGTATTTTAGCCTTCTGTCTTAAATATGCCCTATATTGCTTCTCAGAACCCCAAACAGACCTACAGTGGTGCTGGCATTTTCCCTTGTGCTTGCCATCTGATCACAGGTGAGTTCTCACAAGCATTTCACAGCCACTTGGAGGTGACAGGGTGACACCTGCTTCCTCTCCTAAAGACCAAATGCTCCGAAACCCACCTGCTCTGCTGTCCAGGCATAGGAGTGTGAGTACTGATTCGATGAGCTTTATTTTGTTAAAGACTCTGAACACAGGAGTTCATTCATTCATGAATGCTGATACATTACCTCAAAGGGCAAAAAAAAAATCTCATTTTGATTTCATCTATACTAGAATTTCTGGCATCCTGGAAAAACAGGAGAAATTAGCACTTGTGGGAATAGGTTTCTATGGAAAACCAAGTTAGCGAATATGTTTGTTGAGTGAAACTAAATTTATGTGGATGATTTTCTTCACACTGTTCAAAATACTCAAAGGCCCTGCTCTATTAACCAATGATTTAGAAAAGGCTTTATTTTGGGAACAAAGACATTTCCAAGCTATGTGGATTTCAAAATAGCCCATATGGCTTTTCCATACTTTTATTTGGGTTCTTATGTATGTACAATTTAATAGGAAAAGTGAAATCCAACAAGAAAGTATTGCAGAGTATTTCAGGTGGACCTCTAAGGAATGACAAAAACACACTAGTTATCACCAAATTATATGTGCTGACAGCTTTCCCCAATTATAATTATAGTCAATAATGTCAGTAAGAAAGTGAAGCAAGTCGAAATGTTTTCTTTCTGCATCCCCATTCCTTCCCCAGAAGACCAACTTTGCTCTGATTCTGCTAAGATTTGAGGGTAAGACTTGTCCAGGTCTGACCTGGAGATCAGAATGCTCCTTTTTGGGGAGGAGGCCAAATTTGGTTCATCACAATAATATTGCAAAAACAATTATTGCATGCATTGACATTGGTCATTTCCAAAACACTTTCATACATGATTTTATTATGATGATCCTCGTAACAAGTACAGTTTTCCCCACTTCACAGGTGAGGAAACAGAGGTCAGATAGATTAAATACTTTGCCTGGAGAATCACAGGTAGTAAATAATTAAACCAAGCCTCAAATATGGGCTGTGGGCCTCAAAAATGGGTCATTTAGGGCTGTTCTAACAGATCACTATAGACTGGGTGGCTTAAACATCAGACATGTATTTCTCACAGTTCTGGAGTCTGTGAAGACCAGGATGCCAACAAATTGGATGTCTGGCAAGGGCTCTCCTGCCAGTCTCAGGTGGCCACCTTCTTGGTGTACCCTCACACGTGACAGAAAGCACAGACAGGAAGCACGCTTTCTCGCGTCTGTCTCTTCTCTCTTACGAGGGCATGAATTCCGCCTTGAGTGTCCCTCCCTCAGGACCACATCTAATTGGTTCTCAGCGACCTCACCTCCAAACACCGTCCTGACACAGGAACGTGAAGGGGACGTAATTCAGTCCGCAGCGCTCGCCTCCAGCTGGAGGGCTCGTTTCTGTGCACGTCCTTGGCCTCGCTGTGCCCCTGACTACAGGCCCCAACTGACACGGTAAGAACCCAAACCTCGGATTTCAGGAGAAACTGCGCACGGCACCAGGGTCCCTTCATGTACTAAGAACAACTCGCCATGGCCTGGTGGAGAAATGAAAGATAAACTTTTGCTAGACAGCTGAGAACTTTCCAGAAACAAAAAATATGCATCAAATATACTCAGAATATATTTGTTTGAAATCTGAGTAGAAAAGGAAGATGGGGCCTTTATCAAAAAGTCTCCAAATAACAAATGCTGGCGTGGATGCGGAGAGAGAGGAACACTCCTACACTGCTGGTGGGACTGCAAACTAGTGCAACCTCTGTGGAAAGCAATATGGAGATATCTTAAAGCGATACAAGTGAATCTACCATTTGATCCAGCAATCCCATTACTGGGCATCCACCCAAAAGATCCAATGACACTCTACAAAAAAGACACCTGCACTCGAATGTTTATAGCAGCACAATTCATAATTGCAAGGCTGTGGAAACAGCCCAAGTGCCCATCAATCCAAGAATGGATTAATAAAATGTGGTATATGTATACCATGGAGTACTATTCAGCTCTAAGAAACAACAGTGAT